TGGTGATGTGTCGCGCCGGAGGCGAGTCTGCAGGGCATCAAAGCGTGTTCGTCCTGGTTGCAGGGTGACACCAGGAAAAAGCCACCGATAGACGTCATGATGACGGGGAGGAAGAACTTCTGTATGGCTATCCACATGATAGTAAAGAACCCAAGTCAGGACCCACCACCATGACTCGAGATCATGCAAAGGGTTGAAACGAAACGGTGGGGGTGTATCTTCAAGTGGGGCTTCCAGATTTGATTTGCCTTTCACGGAACGATCCAGCAAACATAAATATGTTTGCCCTTCAACTTCGCAGGCCATAAAGTCAGCTGTCCCCTTGGAAGGCATAGACGTTAGACACATATGAAATGAGATCAAATAATTAGGATTGAGGAGAAGCTTACAGTCCGAACATCGTGGCTTTCGCTAGAGGACGTCAGTGACTTTGCATATTCCAGGTCCGTGATTTTTCCTCGACCATTGCAGCGCAGCACATTTCCAGCGCTAACGTCACGATGAACCCAACCGGCGATGTGCATATATTCTAGTCCTGTACAAGAAGCGGTGAAGTGCATGTAAGTAGGAAAAACAAGGGACGACAAACCTTTCAAACCATCCCCAAGGGTTTGCAGGACGCCGTCAAGCTTCTTCAGGTCGAATATTGGTTCGCCAAGTTCGGAAAAAACAATACGGAAGTGTTGTTTGTGGTGAACGTCTCCGGACTTCACGGCTGGAAGGTTTCGACGCATGAGCTGCAATGGTGCCGATGGAATGTTGCCGACACTAGACGTGTGTGAGCGCTGACTTGGTTCCTTCTCTGCAGTTACGTCGTGCAACGGACTGCCATCCGGTATATCTTTGCCATGCAGGAGCCGTAGGGTATTGTCTGTCTCGTTATCGACCATGACATCCTCCGCCTGAAGCACAGTCAGGAAATACTGTCTAGCGTCATCTACTTTGTTGGGTTGAGTCTCAGCTATGGCTTCGAAGATTTTCTCAAGGATCAGATCCTCGCGCATTCGATCAGAGTCTCGCCAGGCATCCTTGATTACAACGTAGTCTTTCTCCGTCGGTGCGGATTCCTTCTTCTTGTAAGCCTTGAAGATTCGCGTGCCCCTGCCCCTCAACGCGTCGGCCCCAAAATCTGAGATGATCTCGACGGTTCGATAGACAGTAGGAGGTCCTTCCGTGCTGCGGAAACTGATGTCGTATTGGATTTGGTCACCAACAAGCACTCGTTCTATGGTTGGATCCCAGCCAAGCTCGACTTCGTTGGCAAAAGCCAAGGAGCAAAACAAGTGAATAAGCGTATCGACGTCCTTAGTAACGCAGACCGGTAAGCCACTTGCATCGTCAGGGCGATGGTAGAACCAACCTTAAAAAAGTCGAACCGGTGTGAAACTACCGTCAACGCGCGGCACGTAAACCACAGGCGGACTTCGGTGTTTTCGATAGTGACACCAAAGGCAGAACGACGGCAGGGATCGTCCCGCATGATGCTGTGCAGGCTCCAGATTATCTTTTGCTCGTTCTGTCGAGGGGTAAGTTGCAGTCTAGCTTGGAGACGTGGACAATTACATTGACGCGATCATCCTCGCTGGGGCTCTTCTTGAACTCGAAAGAAACGGGGATGTCATCCCAAGAATGTCGCTGACCCGTCGGATTTATCGATATGCTCTTCTTCTTCCTGAGAAGCAAGTAAGCATCTGGGCGGGAGGAGTTGTTCCTATGTGACAATGGTGTTGCTGAGGGTCTCTCGACTAGACGGAGAGTGGACGATCTTTGCAGGACATCGCTGACTTCCGAAACGATGCCATCGAAGATTGATTTGAGACTTTCAAAGACCACTGGTTCTGTCCTAGAATCGTGGCGTGGCTCAACAGAAAACTTCTTCCATCTTCCATCCTCGGTTAAAACCGACGACTTGACCAAGGATTTACGAATGGATGCGATGTTGATCTTGGGGAGTAATGGTGGGAGAATGGCGTCCTTGAAGTACTCGAGGGAGACAACCGGGATGTGTTGGAGGTCTTGCAAAACAGCTGTTCTGCCGTGAGTTAAGTCTCCTGTGTGAAAGAGCGGTCCAGAAACGTGTTTTGAGCGAGGGACGGTATCAGGTGCAGCGGTGGGCGTGCTAGCCTTCGCGGGTGGCGTCCGCGGTTCCATGGTGTGAGCAGGGTTGAATTTAATTCAACTGAGTGGCAACCGTGAGCTTTCCCCGGTATATGAATGCAGATTGTCAATAGCTCAGATTTGCATGCAAGGGCAGGGAGGGAATCAGGCAGCAATTGAGATTATCAGAGATATTGGCCTGTAAGACAGATCTAGAACTGCCAGTGGCGCCACTTAAGTAGTGTGGACCCCAACCATGGTTGCCACTGTAACATAAAGCCAGTACATAAGTAAGATAGGGCTCATGCACACTCCGCCTACATCACGTGACGCGTGTTGAAGTCTTGCATTTGGACGCCACTTACACCAGAATCCGAGGCTGATTGCTTTATCATAGCTAAACCTCACCCTGGCACGACAATCGAGCCCCACAGAATTCTTGTATTTTGGTTTTACTAGACGTGCATATAATTTAACGCGATGTTTGTAATTAGTTGTGGGTGCCATTAACTATTTCGTCTGCATGGATCTGTAGTAAACATTGCATTCAATCACACATAGGCAAGAGCACCGGTAAACCCCCGGGTGCCAGCGGTCATACCTGCACCCGTACCCCAGGATATACCCATACCCATGATGCGGGTACGGGTTTAGGTACGGGTTTACCTGTGGGTATGCTATATTTTAAGTAGGCTAAGTACAAGATCTATCTACTAGCTCAACGGCGTCAATGTCAGAGTGTGTGCCTGGGCACATGATTGTCGATTGTCGTAGTTGCGAGAATTGTTAGGTGACCAGGACCTTTTTGAGGCGACGGGTATGTTTTTGTGAGGCGACGAGGCCGATTTTGAGGCGACAGGACTGATTTTGAGGCGACGGGGCTGATTTTGAGGCGACGGGGCTGATCCTTCGGTGATGAGGCTGACTTTGAGGTGATGCAATGGTGGGTCATCTGCAAGAGTAGTTAGTCATTAGCAAATAGAAATGGAAATAGAAAAAACTATGGTGCGTCGAACATTGTGGCTGTGCACGAGCACACTTTGGACGCGTGACTTTTTGCACGCAAGCGTGCTTCTTCGTCGGGTGCTTGTCCTCTTTCAGCTGTTGCTCAGCCTCAATTGCTGCAGGAGACTTCTTCCTCCATGGATGGAATAGCTCACGGTCTGGACATGGACCGCCATAGAAATAGTCGAGACACTTGCCACAGTTGTCCATGTCATCCCAGCTGTCATCGGGACATGTCGAGACTGCGGGAGAGCGATTAGTTAGTGTTGCATGTGCACCTCGGCGCACAATCGTCACGGCTGCGAGAGGTAGTTAGTTACAAACAAAACAAAGTAAAAGTAAAAGTCAAACCTACCACATGCATGAGTGCGTCAATGTCATTGTCGTTGTCATTGCAGCTGTGTATGGAACGCTCATTGTGTGGTGGAGGAGTCAGGAGAGGTGTGAACCTTGGTGTGCGATGGAGATGCGTGATCGTCACAGCTGCAAGACTAGTTAGTTATCAACAAGAAAAAAAAAGGAAACCTCAACCTATGAGCCTACGGTGTGTGTCGGGAAGTCACTCTTGTCATTGTGGCTGCATGTAGAGTGCTGAGCACTCGTTGTGTGTGCGTGCATTGTGTCGTGGTTCCCCGAGTGCTGTTAGTGGTGCTGCGAGAGAATCTACATGGTGAGTAGTAAGTAATGATTATCGATGAACTGTGGCTGACTCACTGCCACACACCAAAAACGGTAACGGGTCTCAGCCGGGTATGGGTTTTCGTCTGGGTCCCCAAATCTTGACCCGTACCCGTACCCGCATGGTACCCGCACACGTGACCCGTGCGGGTTACCCCAACCCGTGCAGCCCGTGCTCTTGCCTAATCACACAAGTTAGTGGCATGCATATTTTCTTAATGGCACTCGCAAATCAACACAGATTAAATTTTTTCACTGTGGAAATTTTTGAAACATATACAAGTGAGAACTCTGTGGAGCTCGATTGTTGTGTTAGGGCAAGGTTTAGCTGCGATAAAGCAATCAGCCTCAGATTCTGGTGTAAGTAGCATCCAATGCAAGACTTCAATGCGCGTCACGTGATGTAGGTGGAGTGTGCATGAGCCCTATCTTACATGTATCCGATATGTTTGTTTCCCCAGAATCCCCACGGGCTCAGATCACATCTAGTGTTCGGATCAGAGGGCTGTCTGCTGTTATATAGAGCCACCAAATTTTCAAATGCAGTTCCAAAGGGCTGTCTACATTATTTGATGAAAAACCACACAGAACTTGTCTGGTGGTCCACTGAATAGGTGCTACTGAAGTTAGCTCACCACTGTGGGAACTAAAACAGGTGGGTTTCACCAGGCAGCACGGTGAAAATCATCATTCACCATGTTGACAGGTGATAACTAGGTGACGGGTGATTACCAGGTGATTTCTGATCACCGGAATTGTTGGTGATTGTCAACCGCAGGTCTGTGACGATGGTTCACGTCTTTTCACTGGGAGATATTCACCCATTATACAGGTTAAATGAACTTGGGAACTGCCATCAAGGCCAGCAGAAACCTTGCTTGTGCAGCTCACATGAGTTGATAGTGCGAACGAGAAATATAGCATTTTTAGCAGAAGTGGATAATTACTACGATATACTAGAGAGGTTGAACATGATTGCAAAGGAGGCTTGGGAGTACACATGTATATGACAATAAAAAAACACGGAGAGAGAAAGAACGATGGAGAACATGACATAGAGAAATAAAGAGAGAAGACGACAGAAGTGCAAGATGTTCAAATAAAGACACATACCGTGACACGAAGGTAACTGCCTGTTACCGCATCTTATGCATGTACCGATTACCGTGCTCAAGGGCAGACAAGGATGAAAGTCGTAAGTGAGGGGCCTATAGAAAATGCGACCAGAGCCAGAATTGAACCGGCGACCTCCTAGGTTTATACCAGGTGCTCTACCCCCTGAGCTATATGGCCAAGGTACTAGTGTTACTACTGGGGGGTTAAGTCCAGTCTATGTGAGTCAAACTCATGAAGTGCCTGCCTGTAGGTCTTACAGTAAATGCACAGAATGCACACTTCCAACAGGGCCCACAAGAGTGAGCACCCATCGACGATGACAGACACCAGACAAGGGGGACAACATGAGGGGCCCACAAGAATGGGCACCCATCAACGACGAGAAAGCGAGAGGAATGGGTCAAAAGTCCTATGTGATGGGCCCACAAGAGTGGGCACCCATTGACGATGACAGATGCCAGACAACGTGAGGGGCCCACAAGAATGGGCACCCATCAATGATGAGAAAGTGAGAGGAATGGGTCAAAGGTCCTATGTGAGGGGCCCACAAGAGTGGGCACCCATCGACGACGACAGACGCTAGACATGGGGGACAACGTGAGGGGCCCACAAGAATGGGCACACATCAATGACGAGAAAGCAAGAGGAATGGGTCAAAGGTCCTATGTGAGGGGCCCACAAGAGTGGGCACCCATCAACGATGACAGATGCCAGACAATGTGAGGCCCACAAGAATGGGCACCCATCAACAACGAGAAAGCGAGAGGAATGGGTCAAAAGTCCTATGTGAGGGGCCCACAAGAGTGGGCACCCATCGACGACGATGTCAACAGATGCCAGACAACTGGAAAATTGGGACGCAACTACATGGAAGTTATGCTGACTAATGGTACAGTCACGTGTTAAATGTACACGACTTATGAAACTTGTGAAGTTGGTGTGCATATAATATAATCATGTATACATTGCTCTGAAATCAAGAAAATATACTAGATAACGTAGTAACAGCTACCTGTGTTGCACATAGTATACATCAGCAACATTTAATCTTCAAATGTAGCACATGCGAGGTCTCCACTATGGTCAACTATTGCCCAACTGCAGCCTTTGTCGAGAGGGATTCGACCAACTAGACATTGTAGACAAGTGATGTCTATGATGTCCAGGGTATTACTCAGTGTGGAGTAGAGGTGGATGTCAAGGGAGGTGAAGGAAGACAGTGTAGTAGTCAGTTGACAAGGATAGACGGCTGCGAATAAGACTGTTTTGGGGGTGTTTTTTGAAAACCTGAGGATATGCTGTAGAAGTACTCAGTGTACTATAAGTCACTAGGATTGATAGTAGCTACCTGTAGAAGTACTACAGGACTGTGAGTATAGAACATACCTAGATAACGAATGTATCTCTTACCTCAGTGTACTATAAGTCACTGAGGTGTATGCTACTGGAATGCGTGTCTCGTAGACATGTGATTAGGTAAGCAGCTAAACAACTACATACCAGGTGAAAATCTCCTATTTCCAACACTCCCCCTCAAATGGTATGGAGTTTGGAATAACTAAATGACGAAGAGAAAATTAACAAGTGAAATTCCTATTAGAAGGTTCCATAAACACATGTAGTCCTTCGTCCATAAATAAAGGTGTGTTGTCTGAGTATTTGACTTGAGCCGTGAGTGCCTCGTCTCGTGCGGTTGCCCGATTTGGTAATTTGTAGGGTGTCCACATATTCTGGGCTATGGGAGGTGGTCTTCATGTACTGGGCCTCGGTATCCTTCGGCTTTGGTCCTGGACATCCTAGGATGCTCCCCCAGCATCCCGAGTCAGTATCCAATTGGTGTGGGATGGTCCCGACGTGACCAGGTGCATGTTTCCTCGTACATGCATGCTCGACAGGTTCTTGTGGGTTGTGGCTTGAGTTGTCTGCATCTGCATGGTGGATTGGTGGACTTGATAGGTCGCTTTAGGGATTTTGCAGGTGGTGCATATGGCTCAGGTATGTCGTCACATGGCCTATGCACATACTGGCGGTGGTCTTGACGTGCCTTGTCTCTAGTTCGCAGTTCCACCATTTCGACTTGTTTCAAGTTTCGGCAGGTGTTGCTCATTGCGCTATCCCTGTGGCTCACTCGACTATCCCGTGCGATGCTGTCTTCATCAGCTTGGTCCCCTTTCTCTCCCTCAACCCTTCGTGAGTGGTTTCACCTGCATAGGCTCCCACCTGGGTCGTGCAGCGCATTTATGTGGGTAGCGGGTGCATCGTCCTCCAGATTGGTGCCAAGTTGTTGGCTTGCGACGTCATCCCTGGGCATGGTTCCACTTCAGGCGTGGACCTCCTTGTTGGCGTGGCTGCTCGTCGTCTGATCACCTTGCTGGCCCTTGAGCAGTGTGCTTGGGAGCACTGGTGCATCACCTTGCATGCGACCCTTGTGCTGACCATCTTCTTCGGCCTCTAGATGTTCTTGCTGGTCCTGCTGCACTCAGCACACTCGTGCAGCGGTCCCATCGTCTGGGTGGGCATTTGGTGGCTGCTCCCCCTCGAGCAGCATGCTTGGGGGTCTGTCTAGCATCCTGGGCTCAGTGCATCCCCCTGGGTCTTCAACGATCCCTTCTGGGACTCAAGGGGCGTCATTCATTGTGCATCTGGCATGGCATTCTGCTCGCGCACTGCGCCCTTCGCTGTGCACATTCACGCCATGCCGTTGGCCTGTGCGTGTGTTGTTCGCGTGCCTCTGGCTGTGGGCATCTCCAAGTCTCTGCTCCTCGAGTGGTGGGCTTTGTCCCTTCATGCTGTGGCCGTTCATCACCTGACTATCGCACTCCCCCTTGAGCGACATGCTCGGCGGTTTCTCTGGTGTGCTGGGTGTGACTCGCATGCTGGGTTCCATGCGTCCACCTGGGTCTTCAATAATCCCATTTGGGACTCAACCACTGTCACTCGTCCGACCAGCGTGCATGCCGCTTGTGCACCTTTGGGCATAGCGCTCCCCCTCGTGTGGCATGCTCGGGGGTCTGCCTGACATTCTGGACTCGACATCGTCGTTGTCGTTGTCATCCTGTGGTGCAGTGCCATGCCGTCCTGTCCACACGCTGTGTCCTTTGCCGTTTGCACTTGTGTCGTGCTGTTGGCTAGTGCATGCGCTGTTTGTGCACTTCTGGGCATTTCCCCGCATATCTGTGGTGTCACCGTGCACTCCTGTGCTGCCGCTTGCCACCTGACTCTCTCGCTCCCCCTCGAGCGGCACACTGGGGGGTGCGGCGGTTGCGTTCATTTTCACGGTGCCGTCAGTGGTCTTGCTCATGGATGTCGCTCCTCCAGACTTGTCTGGACTGCTCGCTGGCGCTGTGAGGCTTATGTCATTGGTTGATTCGTCTGCAGTGTCTTCGCTTGGTCGCCTTGCTATAGGCTCGTCGACCTGTGGGCTGCTCGCTGGAGCTGCGAGGCTTATGTTGTCAGTGGTTGGATCCATGGTGCCCTCGCCTGGTTCCTTCGCTGTGGCTACCTTCTTGTCAGCTTTCCTATTCAGCCATTCACCCTTCTCACCCTCTCTTTTGACTCCTTTGTCGATGTCTTGACCCGCTTCCATTTGTGGCTTGTCCTGGGGCTTGCACGGTGCGCCTGCTGGCCCTGTGGACCTGGTGCTCATCACGTTGGGGTTCGCAGCATCAGCGGCTGCTTCGCTGGCTGTTGGGCTTGCTGTCTGGGTGCTCTGGGCTGTGACGCGCATGCAGTGTGCTCCTGGGCCCCTGCTGTCGTCGTTCTCACCTCTACTCCCTGGGTAGCTGCCCATGGACTTGTGCGGCTCGTCCCGCAGCTCGTGCGACGTGCCTGCTGGCAGTGGTGGCCTGGTGCTTGTCACGTTTGGGGTGACAGCATCAGTGGCTGTGTGATTTGCTGCTTGACACATCATCTCGGGTCTCTGGGGTTTGACAGTCGGACAGGGGGCTGCCATGTCCCTGCCATCGTCGTCCTGGCTGCTCAGCATGACTGCAAGGCTTATGTTGCGAGTCTTCTCGTCTGCGGTTTCTTCACCTGGCTCTCTCGCTGCAGCTTCTTGCTCGCTGGTCCTTTCAGCGGCCTTCCTTCCCCTTCTAACCCTCTTCTCGACTCTTCCTTGGTCCCTAGCTTCACATTTCTGCTCGCGACATTTCGAGTCATGCGGTTAGTGTTGCTGTGGTTCGGTTTCCCACTTTTTTGGTTTCTTGTGAGGCTTCCTTCTCTAGCATGCTTGTCTCTTGATGGATCTCAATACTTCCAGTGAATGAAATGTAGCCTACATTTGCATCTATCAGATAAAAAAGGAATTACACAAATCCATACAGCCATTCATGAGATATATCCCTTCTTTCACATTCTTCAACATTAGTTTCATTGAAACTGAGCAATGGCTTAGGTGAAATATCTCAACACTGGGTGGTCCAATTTATGTAATTATTTTTTTGGGTAATAGCTACTGTCAGAAATCACATCTCCATCTCTACATGTATAGAGATTTATGATGAAATGACTGAGATAAAAAATGATGGTTTGGAACTGCGGCAACACTACACGTGGTTCTACGGCTTTGGTACTCTCGGGCTTGTTCGCGGTCGCTTTGCACTTTCGCAGCTTGCGAGCATCCTCACAATGCTTCTGACGCATGTCGACGGGCGTTCTGGGGTTGCATTTAGCTTCCTGCTGGGTAGTATTGCTCTTCTTCAAGTCAAATAGATCTTCGAAGTACTTACACCATTCATGTGCAGTTTCGAGATGTGTGACATGCATCAATAACGGGTCAGGGATGGTGAGCATGATGGGTAGTTGTGCCATCATGTTTCATTGCTGCCAGTCCTTGAGTTCGCACTCCGTCGCATTGACTGGTTTCACATCAGTGCCGTTGTATTGCAGGAGTAAATTGTCGAGTGTTGCTATATGAAGAATACTGTCATGCTACGTCTTCCAGTTGCTTCTGTCTTTCGCGAGTTCTGGCACATCAATAATCACACTGTCATCGAGCTCTATCGAGTATACCATTTGTGGGGGCTTCGAGTCTTGTGAGTGAGATACTTTTCATTCTACTGAGTGCAGGTGGGGCTCATAACCTTTTGAAAACCTGAGGATACGCTGTAGAAGTACTCAGTGTACTATAAGTCACTAGGATTGATAGTAGCTACCTGTAGAAGTACTACAGGACTGTG